AATACATATATATTATGCATGTATATACATATAATATAATATAATATATATATATACATATATATATGTATGCATATATATGTATTGAAACATATATATACATGGTTTATATATATATATATATATATATATATATATATATATATATATATATATATATATATATATATATATATATATAGGACACTCATATGGGGCACCATGGTGCCCGGGCACCATGGTTTCAAATGCACAAAATCACTCAAATTTTTCAAAATTTTCAAATTGTGAGTATATACCTAGTTATAAGAATTCGATTCATACCTATACCTATCAACAAAACAACTCAAATTTAACTTTATTTTACAATCCATGATTACATACCTAACTAATTATATGTATGGATGCTATATACCTATAATCAAAATCTAACAAAAACAAGTTCAAATTCAGTTCAAACTTGCTTTCAACTAGTTAGTAAAGTAGTTAATATTAATACCTAAATAATTAAAAAAGTTTCATACTCATTTGAATTGGGTATATACTCAATTTCAACAATGGTGCCCGGGCACCATGGAGCACCAAACAAATTTACTATATATATATATATATATATATATATATATATATATATATATATATATATATATATATATATATATATATATATAAACCATGCAGCAACAGGGCCATGCAAAAAAAAAAAAAAGTTCAGCTCGATCTTTAGTCCCGGTTGGTTGGCTCAGCCGGCCACGTGGCTGAGCCATCTTTAGTCCCGGTTGGTGTTACCAACCGGGACTAAAGATCGATCTTTACTCCCGGTTATTTCACCCGGGACTAAAGATAGCGATCTTTAGTCCCGGATTGGTACTCCCGGTTTGGAAACCGGGACTAAAGGGGGGTTACGAACCGGGACTACAAAGGGTTTCTCCACCAGTGTAAAGTATGTACTAGTTTATAATTAATCGTGAAAGTCTGTACGTGGAGGCCCTCTATTCTTGTCATTATGGGTAAGGATTAGAGATTGAGAAAAATCTGACTGTGCTTGGCTCCGTTTTGTGTCGAATACTTTTTAGATAACCCACCAATCACAATTATGTGAATAACAACAACAGCAGACTTAGCTTGCGAATTTCTATCCTACAACAGTGTCTCCACAAGGGGTACAATGCCAAATTGCCAATCATAATTTGTCAATTTGTGACTGAAAGTTAAAACGTCCCTAACCCGATCACTATTTCAGCTTATACGTCAACAGCTCGGTTCATATATAGAACAGCCGTGAAGAAGCTCAGGCTGCCATCGGTTTGCCAACTGCTGATAATACATCAAACGATCGTATTAGCACTAAAAAAAATAATTTCCCTCTTATATAGGCTAATCGCCTGCTTATTAGACTTGCTATTAGGAACCCTCTTTCCCCGTTACACTCTAAACGAAGTGGATGTTTAATGTATGATTAATTAAGTATTAGCTTAAAAAAGCTTTAAAAATGAATTAATATGATTTTTTAAAACAAATTTTCTATATAACTTTTTATAAAAAATATACAATTTAGCAGTTTGGGAAACATATGTGAAGAAAATGATTAAGGAGAAGTTAGAGCATGACCAACAGCTTTATTATTATTTTATTCCCTATCCTCAGATTTAGGAAAATTTGGTTAAAAATCGTATCCAACAGAATCCCTAACCTGTCTCCTAATAATCCAAGTTCCCAACTCCGGATATCTCGTTTCCTACTTTAAGGAGCGAATTTTTTCCCAATCGCTCTTTCGCGCGCGTAGGGAGAAAAAATTAAGCTAGCCACGCGGTGCGCACGTAGGGGAGGAGCAGAAAAAACTAATTCTCTGTTGGTAGTTAAAGGGAGAGCCCACTTTTCATTATAGGGAATCAAATTTAGGACATCTCTTAAAAAGATTAGTTTTCTTACTTTCTATATTTAGTTTAGGAGTTAAAAAAACATAGTTTTGGGAATAAAATATTGGGACTACTGAACAAATCCTATACGGCCCTACCCTAACCTTGTTAGGCGGAGGATTGATCAGTCCTAGTATCGGCTCTTTCGAAAGAAATTGCACAAAGCGACTATTTTCTGCATTTTATTGATGCGGCATTAGTTGGCTATTAGGAAGAAGGCTTTTGTGTTCTCTCATTTTTCATACACACGCTTCTCAAACTATTAAATGATTTGATTTAAAAAATATTAAAAAAATTACTTAAAATCATATTAATTTATTTTTCAAGTTTTTTAACTAATAATTAATAAATTACGCGTTAATTTATCGTTATGTTTTGCGTGTTGGGGGAGTTAGTTTCCAACGTACTATAAGGTTTTAAGCACAAACTCCAAAGTGTCATGTATACTTAAATGATGATGTGGAGGAGAGGAGAGAAGAGAAGAGAAAAGAGAGAAAGAAGGAGCCACCTCTACCTACCTTGACATGATAAAATTTTGGAGCTTGCCACTAGCTGCACTATTGACCTTGCTCTCGTATAAGGGGCAACCTCCACACAAACTTTAAGAAACAAGAGAAAAAGAAAGGGGTTGATTAGGACATTCCTAACCCAAAACACTATACATAGTTTTCACAAACTCCACATCATCAAGAAACTAATACTAGACACTACTCTTCCAATGCAAACATCACTATTCCATACTTAGATTTAATGCTACTTATCTCACATGATGTCTTAAATGTTGTGTAAAAACCATGATTTTTTTCTCTTTTCTTATTTATTCACTTGTCATATCATTTTTCATCCTAGGTGGCAGCTTATTTAATGCTATGGATACTATCCTAGTCATTGGGTTGAGAATGGTGTTAGTGGTAAGTGTATTGGGACTAGTGTATTAAATGCAATGCATTTATATAAGTTAGTTTTAATTTTATGGATAAATGACGTGGATAAAATTAAAGGCGGCCATCACCTTTATTATAAAACTTGCCCTCAAGAACACAGTCTAATGGGTCATCGTGGAGAGGAGTCTAGCTGAGTCAGCCACGTACGAAAAGCTTTTTCATCTTCCACGAAGAAACCACATAGTGGAGAGAGGAGTCAAGCTGGGTCCAGCGAAAGACTAAAAGCTTTCACCTTTAACCCTTTGGCCTTCCATCTCCTTCCCCAGAAAAGTTTTTAGAAATAATATTATTTTAATAAAAACTTGTAAAAAAGAGATCGATTGGCTGAAATCACAAGTGAGATTAAATGAATCATAGAGAAGTTAGTGCTCTTTTTGGTCATAATGCAAAAAATAATACGAGCAACTCAGATGGATGGGGGAGTATTATTTCTAAAAGAATTCCCATCCCGACACCCTGAAATAAGTTAGTAATTCTAAAGGTTGTTCTAAAGTAAGTTTATCTTTATCCTCTTATTTACTTTCTTTATAAAAGTAATAGTATGGGACACTTTAACTTTATTCTTTTCCAAGTAAAATTTTCTTGAAATGTGAGCGATGCAGTAATTTTATCATTCTTAAGAAAATATCAGGCAATACGATATTTTCTATTATAAAATTTGATACCTACAAATATTAGATATCTCGAGATATCAAAATTTTACGGAGCCATCATTTCGCTTATTCGCGGAATAAGCGAAACGGCATATTTGCAAACGGAAAGTAATTTGTGGTTAAAACTTTTATATACATGTTCTTAGCGATCTAAAAATAAAAACTAAAAAATAAACTTCGATAAAAAAACCTCAAAATCAGCTCCAAATTTAAGGTTAAAAATTTAAATTTTAGCTGATAAATATAAGTATAAACCAAAAGATGAGCCCATTAGTATTTACATGTACTTCCTCCGGTACGGTAAAATCTCTCTACACTAATTTTTAAAGATTAAGATCCCTCTTTACTTAAAGACTACGGAAGAGTGCATGACAGATGGAGTAGTGATGATGGCTGTGGCCATGTGGGTCCCATCGCGAGCTCACTACAAAAGCTGCCCTGATGCTCTGAGGCCTCTCCAATCTCCGTAGCCAGTTACCCACTGTCCCCCCCCCCCACTCTCTCTCTGTCTCTCTCTCTCTCTTGCCGCGAGATGAAGAGGAACGAGGTAAAGGAGAAGGAGAAGACGGACAAGCCTTCGACCCGCCGCCGCATCCTCGGCGTCACCGCCTTCATCGCCGCCGCCGCCGCCGGCACCTTGTTCCTGCTGTCGGCGATTGGGGAGAGCAGTGGAGACCCGGACAAGACGGCAGATGATGATCCGCCGACGACCCGGACAATGAAGGCGCCGGGCTTTGACGGCAAGGTGATGATCTCCCGCGACAAGTTCGAGGGTAACCCGAAGGAGTACTTCAGGGCCAGCCGGAAGGGAGACGAGGAAGACGTTGGCGCTTTCAAGTAACGGATCGGAGGACGCCGGCAACTAAACACAGCCTATATGTGATCTGAAAACTCTGCATGTACCAGCTGGCCTGGATGTTAGCTTAAATAAGTACGTATAGTACGATGTACTATGTCAGTATATGTGTGTGATCGAGGCGATGAGTCTCCTACATGATGTGTCTTAAGGTGATATCCTATCGTTGTTTATATATCACTTAGAAAATTATAAAAAAATTAAAAAAAATCAACAAGCCAAATCGGTGAGTGATTTGGCCGACCTATTGAGTTTTGAGAGAGTTAAAGGTTGAGAACCTCAGCAAGCGAACTCAGCCAGAAGAGGTCGGTTCCCTCACCAGTAGAAGTTTTTTTTTTTTTTTGCAAAAATTCTTTTCCATGATACCTCGTATAAAAAAAAAGGAAGTCTTCCACGAAAGAATAACATGCATAATCGATATCAGTGAGATAAAGATTTCACAGCAAGTCATCAACACAATGCAACAACTAGTACAATGCACTACATCATGGATTGGAGTGTAGAGAACTTGGCCAGTCTCAACTAAAGGATATCCCAATTGAGTTTTCGCAGATTCGCCTGCTGATTCACAAAACCAGTAGCACTCTGGCTTCCATTATATCATGAAAACTATCTCAATTCTCGAGTGAGCAGTTTGTAATTCATGATCCTAAGAACAAGTCTGGTTGCGTTGCTGACATAAAAGTGAAAACTAACAGCTAACAAGACACACAGCTCTGGTGGATCCACGTTACTGTCGCATCAGCTCCTCTTTAGATGGCCATCAGGTCACCAAAGTTGCGCATCACGAAGATGGATGCAACAAACAGACCACCAGCCTTCATCAGCTTCTGTAAACCAGAACAAGAAAAAACAAGACAGTAGTTTAATTAGCATCAATAGAATTTCTAACGACAAGAAAGAGTCAGGTTAACTGTGCCCAACCAGATAGTTATTATAAAAAATAACTTCAACGGAATCAAAAGTTCCACATAGTCAAAAGACTCGCGTACAAAATTTTCTAAGGCCAAAATATGTGGTTGAAGAAAAGAAGGAATAACTACTTCCTCAAATGCTTTCTGGACAACTGAAAAAATGGGGAGAGAAAAAGTACACAACAAAAACTTAAAGATTCAACTGCCCAACAAAAATGTTGAAGTTAGCATCAATGAGTGAAGATACTACACTAAATATAACTCACAGTTAGGATAACTAGCAAAAAGAAATTCAGTGCCAGGCATAACCCAAAAGTGAGATCCCAAGGATAATTGGCTCAACGCCATACATAGCCTATACATCAATTCTTTTCTGATAGTAAATTAATGCAATTCATCATTGGAAGAAAATAGTGGTAAATATAGTGAATATATACACCATGAGCTGCAGAAAGAGCACCACATATGCAGACACACACTACCTGGTGAGTACAGAAGAGTTTTTTTCAACTAGAGGATGCCTAATTCAGACACACGAATACAGAACAAAGGAAGATGATGATAACAGCTAGCCAAAGTATGAAGCACTGGACAGAGCCAGCCAAGTGATCACCTCAACCAGCAATCCATCAATATTTCCTTGATTTATTAATCTCAAGCAATTAACACATCAAGCAGTAGCAGAATGCAGGGAACATGCCAGGATGCCAATCCTATCACAGAAATACAGTGAACCCAACTGCTCTGCTCTGTTCTGCTATACAACTGTTTGTACCTAGTATACTAGCCCTAACCATCCATCTATGTGATATGTTAAACACTCTAGTTGCCACCCTTACCCATAAATTAGAGAAGCTATTACGAGTTATTACAAGTCAACACAGGAAAACATCCGGCCCCGTCATTTGGCTTATTCGCAGCATATTAGTAAACGAAAAGTAATTTGTGAATAAAACTTTTATATCCGTGTTCTTAGCAATCTAAAAGCGAAGGCTGAAAAATAAAACTTCGATGAAAAAACCCCCAAAATCAGTTTCAAATTTATGGTTGAAAATTCAAATTTTGGATGATAAGCATAAACATAAGTGAAAAGATTAGGCCGATCATCTTTAACTCACATCATGCATTTTCAGCCAGTGGACAATGCACACAAAAACCGCCTTACGAATAACTAGAACAGCATTTATGAGTTAAGACCGATTGACTCAAACAACAAAGATTCAGTAAGAAGAGCAAGGAGCATGTCATGTTTGTTAAACTCATTGGCATTCTCCATAACATGATTAAGCTCATAACACCCAAGCATCAAACAGCAGAATCAATTTACACAAGGACTAGTCAAGCACAGCAGTTCACTTCAACCCTACATATTCTAGCAAGTTAGTGCGACCACTAACCGAAGTAAATAACAAAATAAAAAAAATGAAGCAACAGTAGTACCCAACCATCCCAACCCAGTTCTAACCCCTAAACCGCCCATGGTAACATACATTTCAGAAATAAAAAAGAGGAAAAATTTATATGCCTTCATGTTTGCTCAAGAAACGCAACCATCCCAACCCAACTCTAACAGTCCAACCCTTTCGTCCATAGAAACACGCACTGCAAAAAGGGAAAAAACAACATATGCCCTCATGTTTGCTCAACAACGCAGCAGCAGACTAAACAACACCAATCCACATCCATCCGTCCCTAAATCCACCTAAACAAGCCACCGCTGATGCCTCCTAGATAAATTCATCCTTGCAATTAGCAGCATCACGCCTAGATTAATTAAAAAAAAAACAGAAAAGAAAGCTGTAGATACGCGAGAGAGGATGGATGGATTGGATTGGATTGACGTACGTAGTTGAACGCCCAAGCCTCCTCGTCGTTGACCTGCGAGTCCCAGAGCGCCTTGACCTTCTCCACCGCCGCCGCCGCCGCCGCCATGGCCCCTCTCCCCGCTCCGGCGCGTCGTGTGGGGATTCGCCGCTAGGGTTTCGCTTCTGATCTCGCGAAGGGTTTGGTTGCTTCGCCCTGGGCCTTGCGGCGGCTGGGTATTAACCCAGCAGTGGAGCGTGGGCCCACTTTATGGGTCTATTGGGCTTCATCGTCGGCCCATTTACGCTACATTTGGCCCAAACACAATAACCTATTATAGGCCGAATAAAAGGCCCATTCGATGGGCCTTAAATGGGCCAAATAGCTAAAAAGACCCAAAAATAGAAAAACTGTGCGATTCCACTGGGGATCGAACCCAGAATCTCTGGTTCCGTAGACCAGCGCCTTATCCATTGGGCCATGGAATCATCTTGTCATTCACCTTCTCTAATTATAATTACTTTATTATTCCTTAATCTTTCAATTAGGATTAATCCATGCGTGTCTGACGTGGGATTTCCAGCCTGTAGGGGAGGGGCACGTGTCCCTGGGCGGATCAGATAGGCCACCACATCATCATCTCGAAGCTAGTGGTGAGCTAGGCTGCACGAGAAGTCGAGAAGAACGAGAGGTGTACGTGTGGTGGTAGGAGAGGGAATCCATCCATGGTGATGGACGCAGCTAGAGCGGTGGCGATGCCGTCGCTGTCGCCGGCCACCGTCGCGGCGAGGCCGAGCAGCCGCCGCCTTCACAAGGTCGCCGCCATGGCCACCCAGAAGCCCACCTCCGGCACAAGAAGGGTAAGTCTTAAGTCTTCTTCCTCTTCCCCATGGCGTGTGAGCTTGTAGATCGATCGATCGATCGATCGGGCTAACGGCGGCGAGCGGCGGCGGTGCAGGGGACGACGGTGTACTTCCCGGTGGGGGAGCCGGGGCCGAGGCAGACGACGAGCGGGAAGGCGGCGGCGCCGCCGGTGAAGCTGCTGACGAACGTGGAGAAGCTGCGGCTGCTGACGAAGGCGGAGAAGGCGGGGCTCCTGTCGGCGGCGGAGCGCGCCGGGCTGTCGCTGTCGGCGGTGGAGCGGCTGGGCCTGTTGTCCAAGGCGGAGGAGCTGGAGGTGCTGTCGGCGGCGACCGACCCGGGCACCCCCGGCGCGCTGCTCGGCGTCGCGCTGCTGCTGCTCGCCGCCGGCCCCGCCGTCGTCTACCTCGTCCCGGAGGAGTACCCATGGGAGGTCGCCGTCCAGGCCGTGGTCGCGCTCGCCTGCGTCGTCGGTGGCTCCACCGCCTTCGCCGCCTCCAGCTTCGTGTCCAAGCTCCAGAGCTCGTCCAGCTGAAGCGATTACATGCTCACTGCCTTAGCTTTGAGTGATTAATTACCACTTAATTTGCAATTAGTGTGTAATTAAGCAGAGTATTTAGTGTGTATATCAATTACTGTGCCCCTACCCTACGCCTTGATTTTGTACGAGAGCATTGGTGTACCTGCAAAAATTGTATAAAACCTAGTATTATCTGATAATTGTATCTAAATGGCTTGGCAAGGTTAATTTACCTAGCTGATGTTGATTAGGATGTGACGTGCATACGTATGAGTATGTATAAAACATGCTATATTTATAAATTTTTTTCTCTACTTTATCTTGAATTTTGTATATTTCTAACCCATGTATCATTGCTCGGTATTTTATATCTTTCTCTACCATCACTATATATATCATTCTCATTTGTATGTTTACGTAGTATCCTAATCAGTACCTAAATCAACAAAACTAGTCGTGTAATGTCCTTTTAACCTTAGTTCGCACGCGCAAGATAAGTTTATGTAACAAAACAAGCATTTTATAAGATCATACACTAGATTACACCCACTCGACAAGTTCGTGTACCGCGGATGCAATTTACTCTTATTTTAAAGCATGGACTTAAAAGAAATTCAAAACTTAGTTTTCCGGATCGGCTATAATTATGGCGACAGATTTTTCCCACAAACGCAGTCGAATTTTCAGCCTTAGGATTGGCATGAAGATTCGTGCTCACGGGGCATCAGCACACACGCTTTGCTGTGATTGGTTCTGACACGACATAGATGCATACTGATATGCTTTTTAAACTTTGTTGTTGTTGTAAATTATATATTTATATAAATTTACATTGTAGTTACACCTCACTAACACACTATTTACATATGTAATTTTAGGATTTACATATGTAATTTTAAGACTTACATATGTAATTTTGGGTCTTATATTGTAAATACACTAAAATTACATATGTAATTTAGTGACTTACAATGTAAACACACGCCGACTATATTTTGTGAAAAATATGGCGCCACAAATATAATAAATATAGCTAGTTCCAAAAAAAATTCTTTTGTAAAGCTAATAGTCACAGCCTGAACTCGTCAAATGCAAATATACTTCTTCTCCGGGTCTTTTCTGCAAATTGGCAAGCATATTTGCACTTGACTTCACGCGGCTACGGCTTGGCTCGAGCAACTGACAAGTGGGGTCCAGGAGCCAGCGATGTGCGGCATAGCCCTCGTCCTCTCCGGCGGCGGCCGCGTAGTCGTCGCTCCCTCCGCCGCCGCCGCCGCCGCCGTTGCTGCCGTCGGAATCCAACCAAGCGACGAGGTACTGTTCCTACCATCCTCGAATGGAAAAGTATGGAAACCCCCTCCCTTTCGGATTGGCATCCGCCGTGGTTTCCCAAACCCTAAACCCTGGAATCGAGTTAGTTAGCCTGGTGCGTGCTTGCAGGGGAAGGGCGTGACGGTGGATGAGCTCAAGGCAGCCCTGCGGCGGCGTGGCCCGGATAGCCTCGGCTGCGAGAGGCTCCGCGTCCGCGCGGATGGCACGACCTTAGGTTGCTTTGTAACCCCCTGTGCTTGGGAGTTGGGAGTTTTGGTTGATTAATTGCTTCGGGCGTTTCGTGATTTGATTGTCCTGCGTTTCAGGGAGTGATGGGTGTGATTGTGGAGTTGGGAATGGGGGTGATGTGGGTGACACTGAGTTGTGCTTCATCGGAGCAACGCTGCAGCTCAGGGGAGCTGAGCCGATTTTGCAGCCGATGGTGGGTCAATCAGGAAATGTTTTAGTATATAACGGTAATTCTGCTCATCTAAAATTTTCCCTGTTACTATTACCAATTGATTCCTTTTCGTATTTCATTGTGTGGAACGTATGCTATTGTGGTGTAAGATATAGCCTTTACATGTACCGATTTCCATACTCTGGGACTTTTCCTGATTGATGATTCGAACTCGTGCATCGATTGACTTTTTAGTAGCGTATTAGTGTTGCTTCCATGTTAGTAGTTGAGTGATTAGCTTACTTGAACTTGATACTGAAACTATTTTTTCAATTAAGGTGAGATCTATGGAGGAGTCCATGTTGCTGATGACCAAAATGATACTCAATCACTTCTGTCATCACTGGAATCTTGTTGTTCCTGTGAGTGCCATGCTCTTGTTAGAGATGAAGCATGTCTCTGTTGTGGAAGTGTTGGGAAATCAGTTCCACAGATCCTTTCCACAATCAAAGGCCCCTGGGCTTTGATATACTGGCAGGCAGGTAATCGTGATGTTTGTCCTGTTTGCAATTTGTTGTAGATTGAACTTTCTAACACCTGAGCCTGCTTGAACTCTCAGAAGGACTCAAAAACAATGTGGTTTGGCCGGGATGCATTCGGGAGAAGAAGCCTCTTGGTACATTGGCCATCACCTGATGATCCACGCTTTATATTATCATCAGTATCACCCCCTTCATTTGCAAGTAATAACTCTGGTAAGATATTTTTAATCTTGATGTGCCTACCATATCAAATGTTTGCATATATTCTGTTCTTTTACAAAAAAATTTGAAAATTTCACCTAATACTTCAAATTCTATTCATGCTTTGGAGAGTGATTATTACTCTCTACTTGATTGATAATCATCTCATTTATATACTCTTCTTCACTCCTACAGCGCCAACTGTCAAAGTTATGGAGTCAGGGGAAGATAATGATTTTCCTGAGTCCACCAACATGAGTTACTGGGAAGAGCTTCCTTGTGGGATATACAGCATCCAATTGAAAAGCCTTGAAAAAAGTGGCATGTGTATGAAGGAAGCATGTGTCTCCGAAGTTAGGAGGCATGACTGGATCAACTCTTCATTGGATGAATTAATCCAATGGAAGAGGAAATCGATAGTTCCTACTGTGGATGACTTAACTTCACATCAGAATTCTGTAGGGGACTATTGTTTGTCTCAGAGCTTCAGAAACTCAACCGAAGCTGACAAAAATGCTGGTAAGGGCCTAATTGACTGGGAAATAGAGATCTTTTCTTCTATGTTTCCAGCAGTTCACATAAAGCAGTAAAGTTCTACAGATAATTACTCCTGAAGTTTTTTGAAACAAAATACTGTTAAGGAAAGTTGCTAATACAGATACTTCTTTACAATTATATTTCCATTCAGCGTATAAGGTGTTGATTGCGTTGCGGGAATCTGTAATGCTGCGAACCAATTTGAACAGACTCTTTCAGGTGAGTGACCACCAAGGCACTGACTTAAAACTGCTATATGACTCTTTTTTCCCCAACTCCAGCAGGCTACTTGAAAATAGTTCTATATTGTCTGGACCTTGTTGTGTTTCTTGTTATATACTCTATTGATAGTCCATTCTTGTGGACAGGATGATCTAAATAAACTAAAGGATGATGAGCTAGCCCCAATAGCAATCCTTTTCTCTGGTGGCTTGGACTCCATGATACTTGCAGCATTATTAGACCAGTGCCTTGATTCCAAATGTAAGTTCAACTATTGCTTTTACTGTTTCTTGTTCAATACTGTTAGCAGTTCAATATATTAGCCAACCGTTGCTTTTATTGTGTTCAGTACTCTAAGAATTTTAAATTTTTATAGTACATTAGTGCAAGAAGATTAGCTGCTTATGCTACACACTATACTTCAATATATATGAGGAACAGTTATTGAAATTTTGAACAGGGACAATTGATTTGTTGAATGTCAGTTTTGATGGGCAACTTGCTCCAGATAGGATTTCTGCACTGGCAGGACTGAAGGAACTTCAGAGAATTTCCCCTATCCGTAGGTGATTTGACTTCTGAACATCTCACATCCTTAGCCATGAGCTACCTTTGGTCAAGTCTTAACTGTTTTGCACACTTCAATTGCACAAGATTTCTGTTTAATTGAATTATGTACTCCCTTTTTGACACTCTCATGTGGGGGCTCCCCCTGCAGTGTTTTTGTAAAAAAAAAAATTGACACTCTTACAGCCTGATGAATTATTTGCCTGTTTTGTTTCCTTCTATAGTCTTCTAGCTGGCCAGTGAATTTGATCAAGCCACCGATGCAAATTGAATATATTATGTTTAATTACACTTTTGTGCCTTCTTATTGATAGCTCATCCATGTTTACCTTCCATTTGTTTTCTTCTATAATCAAGTGGAAGCCTTTTGATTGGACTTCCTTATTTCCATACTCTCGTTACTAAATACTTCTCTACCCCTTTTTATTGTTTACCATGCTGCAATCATTATGTTTGTGTAGTGCTAAATCGAGCTGTTTGTTTTCTTACTCGCAGATGGCGTCTTGTTGAGATTGACACAGTTTTGACAAACTTGAAAGGAGAAAGTGAACATGTGATGTCACTTATATACCCTTCAAATACTTATATGGTTTGTACCTTGGTTATAGCTTTGATATATTACTTCAAATGTTTTACAGTAGCTTTATAAAGTTATAATTCTGCTTTTTTTTGTACAGGATTTAAATATTGGTATAGCTCTCTGGTTGGCTGCTGGTGGGGATGGTTGGGTGGATGGAAGTATATGCAACATGCAAGATGGTTGTCGCTACAAGTACAAGTCAACTTCTAGAGTTCTTTTAGTCGGTTCTGGGGCTGATGAGCAGTGCGCTGGTTATGGAAGACATAGGACTAAATATAGACTTGGAGGGTATGTGCGTAAGCATCAATTTGTTTGTTCTATACTTGCATATCAGGTTGTGCAATGCATACCCCATGAGATGTTCTTACACTGCAACTGCAAGAATGTTGAATTTTTTTTTGCCTCTATTTAGCTGGGTTTTACTTGATGAGGAGATGAGACTAGATGTACAGAGAATCTGGAAAAGAAATATGGGAAGAGACGATAGGTGCATTTCTGACCATGGCAAGGAGGTAATTTCGGTCATGCTTTCTGAATTAGAAATGTTCAGCAATTTTTGTTTAGCAATCTGATGTGTACTACTGTCCATGCTACAGGCACGTTTTCCATTTCTTGATGAGAATGTGATCAAAACTTTGTTGGAAATTCCATTGTGGGATATTGCTAAACTTGATGAACCTGTTGGAAAGGGCGACAAGAAGATCTTGAGAGAGGTTTGTGCTTGTTCTGAGCTTAGTCCATATGGGGGCTGTTACATTAAATTGAAGTTCGCATTTGAAATTCACATATAACTCATTGAGTAAAAGCAACACATAGAATTCCTTTTCTAGAAAAAAAAATAGTTCTGGTGGAGCATGATTTGCATTCTTGTGTTTCAATGCATTGATTTTTGTTAAGTAGTAACATGTACTCCCTCCGTTTCATAATGTGAGACTTTCTAGCATTGCCCACCTTCATATAAATGTTAATGTATCTAGACACATATGTATATCTAGATTTATTAACATCTATATGAATGTGGGAAATGCTAGAACGTCAAACGGAGGAAGTACATGATACATCACGATGCATAAATCTTCTTTTTGTAACTCAATATCTGTGGGTGACGTTAATACATACATATCTGTGATGATGTTGAAGGTTGCAAACCTACTGGGCTTAAAAGAGGCTGCACTTCAACCAAAGCGGGCAATCCAGGTGCATATACCAACCAGTTAATTCCATAGAATTAATATTTAAAGAAAACATAGAAGCTGTAGTTTGTGACTTGACACCACTACTCCCATCCTATGCTTCACGCAGTTTGGTTCAAGAATAGCGAGAGAATCAAACCGCAAGAACTTCGGGAGCAACCGAGCCGCGAACCAGGCTTCCGCTGGCAGCGTGGAGATTCACCAGCGTGCACGCTGAGAGGATCTCTCCCATGGCTGCACAGCGAGCTGAGATGATCAGTAGAGGCCACAAACTCCCTTGCTCTTCTGCTCCACTAAAGCGAAGTCTGACTGCGACTCGCCATTTCGCCATGCTGCCCGAGATTGCTTCCCACCGCGATGCTGGATACCGTCAGAGGTTGCAAAGTTGGGTTCCCCAGAAGTTCACCAGATGTGGTTGTGATCATGCCGTGATGGGGATGGAGCATGCAATGTTCTACTACTACCTATATTCTGTCAAATTTTGTTCCTCATATACTCTGCCATCCATTGCAAGTTCTCAAACCTGTATCAGGGAGATCTGGTTATTAGTAGTGCATTGTGTATTCTTTTCATTCGACGATTTGGGCCTAATTGGGCCGTGCTACAAGTTGGCCCATAAAACCGTGCCACCAGGCTAATCCAATCACCGAGCGCCACTTGTCTTCGTCTTCCAGCTCCGCGCACCACCCACCGCCTCCTCCTCTATAAAGCCATCCTCTCTCTCTCTCCCCTTCGTCTCCACCTCGACCTTCCCCCCACTTCGCTTCGCGTGCTCGGATCCGAATCCAAACCCTCCTCCAAGCCCTAATCCAATCCACCCAACGGTCTCCTCCTCCTCCCCTCTCCGCTTCCCCCCCGAAACCCTAAACCCCCACCTCCTCCCCCCACCCGCGGTTTCCCGCCCGATCCCCACCGCCGCGCGCTCAATCCGGGTTCGAATTCGAATCCCAGCTCGAGGCGCCCGCTCGATTCGACCCCCGCGGCTACTGCTGCTGCTGCTGCCTCGAGGCCTCCAGCTCAGCCGGCTTGGCGCGGATGGTGGCGTCCCCGGCGGCGTCGAGACCTAGGCCGAGCCCTAGCTCCGGATCTGGGAGGAGGAACCCCGCCACGCCCGCGAGGTGTTCGACGGAATGAGCGGTCGGGTTGGGGGTGGAGGAGGAGAGGAGGCGGCGGAAGCATGAGCGGGGGCGGAGGGGGAGGAGGCGGGAGCGGGAGCGGGAGTGGGAGCCGGGACGAGTACGGTAGGGCGGTGGCGCGGGCGGCCGTGGCGCAGGCGCTGGAGGCGGCCGGGTTCGACTGCGCGCACCGCTCGGCGGTGGACGCGCTCGTCGACGTCATCCTCCGCTACGTCGTGCACCTCGGCAGGACCGCGGCGTTCAACGCCAACCTCGCCGGCCGCGTCCTCGCCAACGAGTACGACATCATACAGGCGCTCGAGGAGATCGGCACCGATTTCGATGGGTTCGTCGGCGCGGCCACCTCCGACCGCTGCCTTGTCGGCTCGGGCGTCGTCAGGGAGCTGATTGATTACGTTGAGTCCAAGCCCGAGGTGCCGTTCGTGCGGCCTCTGCCTAGCTTCCCGGTGCCGCGCGTGGAGCCGCAGCCAGCTCAAAGCTTCGCGATGGCCGGGAAGGAGTCTGGGATGAAGCATGTGCCGGAATGGCTCCCGGTGTTCCCGGATCCACACACGTACATAAGGACAGAGGTTTGGAGCGAAGAGGAGGCCAAGGCCAGGGTGGACAAGGTTGAGCAGGTGCGGCAGCGGAGGAAGGCTGAGAAGTCACTGCTCAGCTTGCAGCGGCGGTTGGCACTTGCAGGTGCTGATGGATTTAGGCCAGCGGTTACAGAGAATACTGCGGAAAAGGGGAAGGAGATACAGGTGGCTGGGAGCAAGAGAAATCCATTCCTTGAGCCTGCATTGCCACCTGGGGAGAAGGAGGTGTCTGATGTTGCTATGCAACCACAGAGGAGGAAAATCTCTGTCCTCGACGCATTTGCACCAGCGATTCAGGCTGCAAACATGATGGACATTGATACTGGGCCAGGTTGGGACAACAATCAGAATCAGAAGAGCATTGTTCCCAAAGAGAGGGCACCGGTGCACCTCAAGATTGGAATTGATAAGAAGCCGTTATCAGCTGTGTTGAATTCAAAACCCCTGGATCTGAGGGAGGATCCGTCTTTCTTGAAGGAGGAAGTAAAGGATGAGCGGAAGCGGAGGGCGGGCATGATACTAAGGGCATCAATGGAGAACCCACAGGAGCTTCCGCAGCTTTAATGCTGCATAATGTTGATCTTGGGATAAGCAGAGCTATCAACATTGTACATGTTTTCTTTTTCTGGATCTTCAATGCGCGTTATCTCAAGGTATGTTGGAGTGTTCCCGCTTGTATAACTAATTAGGGGCTTATGGCTAGTAAACTGTTAGCTTTAGAATTTCAGCAAGTAATACATTAGATAGAATGGAATAGGCCTACAGTGCTTTGTAATAATCATGTTGTTAAATTTCTACGTAGACATGAAACAGTGAAATGACAACTAGAACATGTGGCACATACTTGTTTTACACTGATAAATATTGAGGACAACTGGACAAGGATGCACGTATTTGGACTTGTAGTGAAATGTTAATAGTGAATATGTGATTTGCTGAAATTTGGAATTTGTTGTGTTACATGTGTTAAACTTTAGTACCTAGCTGATTTGAAACAAGCTATTTGGTCAAGATAATGAATTATCATAACATTGGTTGTGTTTAGATCAATGAACACTGTATTACATTTTGCTTAACAGATGTGTCTTGTTTGATGATAAACTAGAATACATATATAGCTATGCACACACAGTGAAGAGGGTTTTGGTATGCCTGTTGGGACTAGGCAAACTAAACTACTGCTCTTGTTACCTCATATGGTCCGTATCCATTGCATCCCACCTGCGGTACAACTACTCAAAACTTAATGAAGAAATCTGTCAAGAATCAGAAGTTATCATTGTCCTGTGCTGGGTATACCGGTATAGATATACCCCCACCTTTCTGTTTTGGCTGCTTCACCCTTTATAGCTAAAAAGTGTGGAACTGTGGATCTTTTTATACTGCTAGTTAGTTAAGCATCATAATGTCTAAGTGTTACAAATGAATTATACATATTTTTTATGAGATATTTATGCTGTCCTACCTCCTTAAAGTGGATTCCCACTCTCTGACAGCTGAACTATTGGTTGCATGGTTTCTTGGTTAGAGCTGATATAGAAACTTGGTCAATGTTTTTTGGGAAGTTTTCCTGCACCGGTGGTTAAAAGGAAAAGCTCAATGCTGCTCACAGCAAACCTAATGATAGATGGATGACCACTCAAGTTCCCAACTGTTGAAAAGTGTTTAATAGTTTTCATGATCACAATGGAGGACATGCATGATTTCCCCTATTGAACAATCTCGCACCTATGTCAACAAAATGCAAAGTGATAATGATGCATAAAATCTGTCATGCAACGATATCAGTGTACTTTGAATAGTCTAGTAGTAGGATAGAAACTTTTTGTTGATTGACTTGTTAGGGCATTCCCAACCCAATGACTAGGATGGTGTCCATAGCATTAAATAAGTTGCCACCTAGGATAAAAAATGATGTGGCAAGTGAATAAATGAGGAAAGAGAAGGAAACCATGTCTTGTATGAGACATGGTTTCTACACAACATCCAAGACATCATGTGAGATAAGTAGCATTAAATTGAAGTAGAATAGTGGTTTTTGCATTGGAAGAGTAGTGTCTAGTACTAGTTTCTTGATGATGTGGAGTTTATGGAAACCATGTCTAGTGTTATGGGTTGGGACTGCCCTTAGGGACCTTCCCAGTTTGCTTCAGAACTCATGTAGCAAATTAACTTTTTAATTAATACTCTGAACTGTGTTAATTTCTGACCAGATCAGTTGTGAATTGTGCAGGGTGGTATGACGCGATCCTGTTCCAAAGAACACCCAACCTGCACCCAACCAGACAACTGTAAGCTGGATTTGTTGTAACTATGACCACCATGCTGTTTCCCTCTATGGTTGATTCAAAAGGAGCTGATTTTGGAAGGTCGTGCTTCTTAGCCCCCTCAAAGCCATGGCCAGTCTTCATCCAAAGAATGACGCTCCTGCTCCCCTTTTGGTAATCAATCCTCTTTCCCGTGCCTACTCGTAGTAGAAAGAACGACTGATGTACAAAACCTGACTATGCTGACTAGGATGGATCGACATTTTACTTAGCGAGTTCCTCCCTCAAGGCAGTTTCCTGATGAAATGTGTAGAAGTCAGATTGAGATGGTCGATGCTGAAGCGAGTACTGATTGAGATTTTGTAGTTTGAGAATCGTTTATTTCCCATTTGCTTGCCATATGATGTGTCCTCAATGTTTACACCTGACGACGTTAAACTGGGCTGAAATCAGTTAAGTTAGCTCAGTCACACGTTGAATGGCCCGTTACTTCTAATGGGCTGATAATTTGATCGAGGCTGTCATGTTTAATGGGCCATGATAAATTTGACACACCAAAGTTGATTAACATGTCATTTTGGCCCATTACGTACGTTTGGTTAATGTCCCATCCCCAACCAGGTTGGGTTTTTTTTAGGATGGAGAGAGCATGGCTCTTACTTTCTTCAATACTCAACTTACGCCGTGTTTTCCGAAATATTTCTTCAAACTTCCAACTTTTCCTATCACATCAAAACTTTTCTACACACATAAACTTCTAACTTTCCTGTCGTATCGTTTTAATTTTAACCGAACTTCTAATTTTAGCGTGAACTAAACACAGCCTTCATACTATATATGTCGCTCCCTTTTATGCCTGATTTTTTTGGCGTGAACTAAACATAGCCTTAATACTATATATATGTCGCTCCCTTTCATGCCTGATTTGCAACGACTTTGTTGTCAAAGGTATCAGTCTATCTATCGACTTGTAGTTTTGTCGAGTACTCTACTGGAGTCAAAGTCAGAGGTAAGGACAAGTGGACGAGAATCTGTGTGTTGCATTGTGCGTGCCACCTGTGTCAACCACTCGTCTAGTTAAGAGGATTAATTAATTTGAAAGCAACTGACCAGACGGTACTGAAGAGTGCAATTAATAGTCACCAGCTAGACCTTCACTGGATGTGTGATCAGTAGTTTTTGGAGTTATATTTTAAATGGCCTCGTTGGACAAAATAATCTGCAAATTCAATCAAATTCCTTTCATATGCAGTCAACCAGAGGAGCAGGAGCAGCTGCATGCTTGCAAATGTGGCATAATGTAGCTGTCATTTTCGTTCTCTGTTCACTAGTAATATTATTATATACTGCCAACTTTGAATGAGAGACTGAAAATTTGATTTATTTCTTATTGAGACAAGATAAAGAAGGATAATCAAAACTATTCATGATCGGCAATTGCTCCAGCAAATAGTATAGGACATATACTGTACTATGCATATAAAAATCACATCACATACGACTGATAGGTCAACGTGTGGGGTTCTCTTTGAAGTAGTCCTGTCAACTTTCATGCCAAATTCAATTGATACACCATATTTAGGCCGTGTTCAGTTCACCTCCAACTATTCTCAACTTTTAACTTTCCTTCACATCACATCAAAAACTTTTCTATACATATAAACTTCTAACTTTTTTTTCAAACTACCAACTTTCCCTAAACTTTCAACTTTTTTCAGGAACTAAACACAGCCTTAATTAGCTTTGAAGTACTGTAGTTAGTTTTCAGTAGACCCTGCGTCATCTTTAATTGGCTTCCAGTTGATTTACAGTGAGACTTTAATGCTCCGTAAACCCTCCGTCTCAAAATATAAGCATTTTTAAAATAGTGCTAAGTAAAACCTTTTTTCTTTTAACTATTAATAGCAAGAAAATAAAAAAGATTAATCATGTAAAATTGATGTTACTAGATTTATCATTAAACAAACTATTATAATATTTAACTCTTTTTATTTAGATCATCTTACTTTTATAGTTATTGTTAGTCAAAGTAGCATCTTAAAATTATATCGAGGTATTAAAAACTTATATTTTAGGGCGGAGGGCACATTTCACATGCATTTCACATGATCTCAAGCAAGCGGCCTCACAGTCCCCCCACCCCCCCACCCCCCCCCCCAAAAAAAAAAGAATTGCCAAGTGGCAACGTGCAATTCGTTCAAAAAAATGGCAACCTGAAAATAGTTGCAAGGAATATGCAACACAATATTCAATTGGGACACACCAACCAGATTCTAGTATATCTTATTCCAACTCCCTAAGACTAATATTAGGATAATGCACTAATTAACACCGATCAACATCACATCAAGTGCTCATGGCTCCATCCTAGCAAAACAACAAGAGAGGGAACAAAAAGGTGTTTTCAATGAGTCAGACCATACACCAAGCTTAGGAATATTTACTAATAATTGGATATGGATCACAATTCACAAGAGCAAGCAAGCATGCTGCACTATAGTGCTACTAATTGTCCAATGGCTGAACCGGCTTGGATCTGGAGGCGAATTTGTTGACCAGTTCTAGCCACTTTCATTGACTAAGCTAAGCTCACACACTCCATTGATCTCCTTCTTTGCAAGTTGCAAGTATGCAATGCTAAAAGCCACAAATTGATTGTACACCATGATCAGCCACCACTACAACAGTGGATCCAACCATGGAGATTTTAGTGGATGGCTCACCACACATCCCACTATATGTGTTCAGGGATAAACTTTGGTCTCCGAATTCTTGAACATTTTTCTCACGGATAGTAGGTTTAGGCCCTGTTTAGTTCATATAACAAAAATTTTCTCGCTGTCACATCATACATGTATGGAGTATTAAAAGTAGAAAAAAACAATTACACAGATTGCATGTAAATTCCGAGATGAATCTTTTAAACCTAAATGCGTCATAATTTGACAATGTGGTGCTACAGTAAACATTTACTAATGACGGATTAATTAGGCTTAATAAATTCGTCTAACAGTTTCGTGGCGAAATCTATAATTTGTTTTGTTATTAGACTACGTTTAATACTTCAAATGTGTGTCTGTATATCCGATGTGGCAACTAAATCTAAAATTTTTCCCCAAATAAACGAGGCCTTATTGTGAGAGGGAATACGGCGGGTCTTCTCTATTTTTCTTACTTTTGTACTTGATCGGTGTGAAGCCCAAGTTAGACATGAGTCATTTGAAGAATAGATTGATGGTCAGTTTGATTTCTCCAGCAAAGTTGGTGGCGATATGATGTTTTCGTAGAAAAGAAAAGCGTAAAAGGAAGAATTTTCGCTGCCTCGTGTGGAAACATTAGAAAATCACATAAAACTTTTCGGCCAGACATGTTCTGGTTCATCAAGCAAAAAAAAAAAGGGGTATGAATTCAACTGATTAATGTGCAGAATATCTAATTAAATCACCATGATTTCCATAGCTGAAATGGTTTACGAACTGAAACGGTGGTTTAACTTAACCTCTTTTGAAAATTTCCAGCTTTACGACTTCGGTCGTGAACCAGAATTAACTGTCAATACATCATCACATTCACATACGCATCGAGCAAGCAGACCAGGGAATCCAACTAAAATTTCTAATCCTTTCGACTAAATCTGTATTAATTAGAGGTCTGGAAGCAAGTGTCAGCGAATTAACAATTATTTGCTTTGCAAAATGCGGTTTCACCAGAACTTTGGCTTTCGGCTAGCTTTGCGATGGTCAATTTAAACTACTTCTCCTTCCGTCCCATAATATAAGGGATTTTGAGTTTTTCTTATCACGTTTGACCACTCGTCTTATTCTAATTTTTTTTATAAATATAAAAAATAAAAAGTTGTGCTTAAAGTACTATAGATAATAAAGTAAGTCACAAATAAAATAAATAATAATTTCAAAAAATTTTGAATAAGACGAGTGATCAAACGTTGCAAGAAAAAAAATTAAAATCCCTTATATTATAGGACGGAGGGAGTATTATGTAAGCATCCGTCATGAGTATGTCCGAGGATCTGAGCCCAACTGCGTATATTTGGAATTTCAAATGTCCTCCAATGCCTCACGTTTATGGTCGGCAATAGTCTGATAAACGATAGAGTGTTACTGTTTTTTCTTTATTTTCTTTTTATGAATCACACCTCTTTTTTTTAAGAAAAAAACATGATATTGTAACTCTGCCGTTACAAGAAACTGAAGCATAAGATATGCCAAAACAAAACAAAGACGCTCCGCATGTTTGAAATATTTCTGGCTCCTTTAGAACGCAAGATTCTCAAAACATATAAACAGAAACAATATAGGATTGAAGTGTTCTATCAACTTCGAATCCTATGGATTGAAAAAACATAACGATAAAAATAAAGGGATTAGAAGAGAAAGGCACAAAGGATTTTTTTTTTCACACGAGGTTGAAGCACATGCTAGAATCCCTCCAGTTTTCTAGTTTTGAGTCAAGCCAAAAGAATTTCATAGAATTTTTGGATAGATATTTCTTTGATCCAAATGATCTGATAGGATAATTTTTTCCATAGGATTGAATTCTTCCAATAATCATGTGTTCCAAAGGAGCATAGTTCGATTTAAAACACAAATTATATCCACCATTTTGTTCCCTGTTTCACAGTATAAGACCTTTTTCACAAATTCAGAGTAATTTCACTCTCTGGTTCTCCACAGTTGCTTTCATGATCTGTTACGCTTGACTCCATGCAGAACAGCTGACCCAGCCAATTACAGGCCTACAGAGACCTTCATACTGCTGTAGAAGTACTCTACATGGATGTGGATTGGCCCCTTCTCCTGTTATCCACTGGGAGTGAGAGACTGCTACAGATAGATTGATAGTAGTTTTCTCTTCGTTTTAAAGTATAAAATATAAGTAATTTTAGATGGGTGTGATGTATCATAGTACGAATCTATATAGAGAAATGTTCCATTCATCTAAAATCCTTTTTTTAAGACGAATGGAGCATTTAAGGCATTGAGCATTGTAGTTATGACCAATGAATGCACGAATTCAAGAACACCACCCCACCCTGTTTAGGGATTTTTTTTTTCAGCGTGGCCCTATTTGATTTATTATTAGTGGACTATTGTGACTGATTATCTACTTTTAAAGACAAATAAAATACTTTAGAAAACAACTTAAAACATAGGCCATGTTCTTATCACATTATTCACCGGATTATTGAAATGTATTATTATTTACTCCACGCTTCAAAAAAAACACATTTTCTTAAAGAAATTTTTTTATATTATGTCGCTTAGACTTGTTGCTTGGACGACTTGTTTGTTTGTTTTTTTTTTACTTTTTAAGTTTATGTTTTAAGGATTCTTTCCCGTAGGAGTATCTCTTATGAAGTCTCTGAAATTCTGCCCTCCAAATGAGGCTGCATCCGGAAATAATAATCACCTAGCAGGAGTACTCCATTTTTCTTCCTTGATACCTGGGGTCAAAGTCAATTGATTAGTGCCAACCTCTCTGGACATTGTGTAAGAGTTGTCTTGATAGGGTTGACTCTTGAAGCCTGTGTTTTTATCCTTTGCTTCACCATACCATGGCTCAGATTCGAACCCAAAGTCTCTCTTTTGATAGGGTTGACAAATTTGGGTGCTAACCGTTCCATTACACTTGGTTGGTAGTAAACTTTAAGACTTGGTTTTGACACGCGATTGTTGAGAGATTAATTAATTAATAGCAAAAAAAACTTAAAAATAGATTAATATGATTTTTTAAAGCAACTTTCATATAAAAAAAACTTTTAAAAAATGCATTGTCTAGCCGTTTGAAAAACGTGCGCACGGAAAATGAGGGAGGTGAGTTGAAAAAGAGGGGAAAAGAACGCAGCCTTATAATGCATTGGTTCATGGTCCTCGTATGGCCACTTCGACATAAAATAGTATTCGAAATTATAATGTTCTATTTGAAACATTACAAATTAAAACAAATAGTTCAACTCAACGGCAAAACTTGATAGTTTGGGTGGAAAGTTCCATGGTTGGTTTTTTTCCTAAAGATGTAGTAGGCTATCCAAAGCCATACGATTTTCAATCTCAATATTATTAAAGACATCTGTCTTCAAAGTTTTAAAATTTTGACTCTTTTTTTTTCTTAAAGAAGATGACATTTTTTTTATGGCTATAGAGAGAGCGCGCATCTGGCTATCTAGAACCATACAAAATAAAAATGATAGCCACTTGAGTGTCATTGTCACTTCCATCCCAAGCATTGATTAAGTGGTTAAAAATAATAAATCAAGCAAAAAAAGAAATTATTTTACACCTTGCACCAATATTCAACACTGCACAATATTATTTTTGTTTTGTAGAGAATGGTATTTTTAACCTGGTCTCTACATTCAACCGGATATATGCAATATTTTTAAATTAGAAACTTAGCCTATCAAACAGGAAACTTGCCTATGAAGATTTAAACTCATTACTTTTTTAAATTAGGAACTTATGATTTTTTTTAAATTAGAAACTTAGCCTATTAAACAGGGAACTTATTTATGGAGATTTGAACTCAGGACTTTTTTTAAATTAGAAACTTAGCTCTCAAATAACTCAATCTGAAATTCGCTCTTATAAAGATTTGAACTTACGATCTTAATGTGCTACTTAGGTCACTGCAACCACCGAACTGCATGTCCTTTCATAATGTTATTGCATTATCCTCTACACGACATCAAATATTAGTGACATGAGAAAGAGTCATTTAGTTAACACTCATAGTGGTGCCACGTCACTCCTCTCCCCTTCTTCTCTTCTTTATCATCACTACAAAAAAAAACCCCCGAGATTACCATTCCGAATTCCATTCCTCCTCCAAAGAATCCACGGACGATCACCTGTCCACCGCCGTCGTCTTCTCCGTCTCCGATGCGATGCGACACCTCGCCGTCGTCCTCCTCCTCCTCCTCCTCCTCGCCGCCCTCGCCGCCTCCCAGGAATTCACCTACTCCGGCTTCCGCAACGGCGGCGGCGGCGGCGGCGCCGGGAACAGCCCGAACCTGACGCTGAACGGCGTGACGGAGCTCCGGCCGGACGGCATCCTGCGGCTCACCAACGAGACGTCGCGGCTCATCGGCCACGCGTTCTACCCGTCCCCCCTCCGCCTCCTCGCCGGCGGCGCGGCGGTGTCGTTCTCGACGGAGTTCGCGTTCGCGGTGGTGCCGGAGTATCCGAAGCTGGGCGGCCATGGCCTCGCGTTCGTCGTCGCGCCCGACCCGCGCCTCCCCGGCGCGCTGCCGAGCCAGTACCTGGGGCTGCTCAGCGCCGCCGACGTCGGCAACGCCACCAACCACGTCCTCGCGGTGGAGTTCGACACCGTGCAGGACTTCGAGTTCGGCGACATCAATGACAACCACGTCGGCGTCGACCTCAACAGCCTCGTCTCCAACGCCTCCGCCTCCGCCGCGCCGGTCAACCTCAAGTCCGGCGACACCATCGTCGCCTGGGTCGACTACGACGGCGGCGCGAAGCTACTGAACGTCTCCATCGCCGCCGCGTCGGCGTCGAAGCCGGCGTCGCCGCTCATCTCGTTCCACGTCGACCTGTCCCCGATCTTCCTCGACCAGATGTTCGTCGGCTTCTCGGCGTCCACGGGCCTCCTCGCGAGCTCCCACTACCTCATGGGCTGGAGCTTCAAGCTCGGCGGCGGCGCCGCGCCGCCGCTCGACGTCCCCTCCCTCCCGTCGCTGCCCCGCCCCGCCGCCGGCGGCAAGAACCGCACGTCGGCGATCCTCGCCGCGGCGTTCTCGGCGTTCGTCGCGCTCGTCGCCCTCGCCGGCGCCGCCGCCTACGCCGCCCACCGGTACAAGAACCGCGACGTGGTCGAGCCATGGGAGCTCGACTACGGGCCACACCGCTACAGCTACGCCGAGCTGCGGCGCGCCACGCGCGGGTTCCGCGACCGCGAGCTCCTCGGCGCCGGCGGGTTCGGCAAGGTGTACCGCGGTGTGCTCCCGGGGAAGCCGCCGCGCACGGTGGTCGCCGTGAAGCGCGTCTCCCACGAGTCCCGGCAGGGCCTCCGCGAGTTCGTCGCCGAGATCGCGTCCATCGGGAGGCTCCGCCACCGCAACCTCGTCCAGCTCCAGGGGTGGTGCCGCCGCCGCGGCGACCTCCTCCTCGTCTACGACTACATGCCCAACGGCTCCCTCGACAAGCACCTGTTCGGCGACGGCCTCGCGGCCGCGCGGCTGACGTGGGGCGCCCGCGTGAAGGTCCTCCGCGACGTGGCGGCGGCGCTGCTCTACCTCCACGAGGGGTGGGAGCGCGTTGTGCTCCACCGCGACGTGAAGGCGAGCAACGTGCTCCTCGACGGCGACATGTCCGGGCGGCTCGGCGACTTCGGGCTCGCGAAGCTGCACGAGCACGGCGCGAACCCGAGCACGACGAGGGTGGTGGGGACGCTGGGTTACCTGGCGCCGGAGCTGACGAGGACGGGGAAGGCGACGGCGGCGGCGGACGTGTTCGCGTTCGGGGCGCTGGCGCTCGAGGTGGTGGCGGGGCGGCGGCCGATCGAGCCGCGGGCGCCGCCGGAGGAGCTCGTGCTGGCGGAGTGGGCGTGGGAGAGGTACGCCGCCGGCGAGGTGGGGGCGGTGGTGGACGCGAGGCTGCGCGGGGAGTTCGACGCCGGCGAGGCGGAGGCGGCGGTGAAGGTCGCGCTCTGGTGCTCGCACCCGGCGCCGGCGGTGCGGCCGACGATGAGGGAGGTGGCGAGGTACCTCGACGCCGGCGGCGCGGCGGAGGTGCCGGAGCCGCCGCCGCCGCCGCCTCCCCCGCCGGTGAGCTCCGGCGAGGTCGGCTACTACGACTTCGTGCACTCGTACCCGACGTCGTCGTACGAGAGGGCGGCGGCGGCGGCGGACGGCGTGACGCAGACGTCGGTGGCCACGTTCCCCTACTCGCCGCTGTCGATGAGGTCATCCCACGTCAGCGTATGACTCCACAGCCTGGGCCCGCCTGTCAGTATAACGATAGGTGGGACCCACTGCCCGCAACCTTGGTTCAAGTGGGACCAGAGAACCCATTGTGATACTCTGTTCTTGCCACCAAGGTCGTTAGCGTTGGGATACATATTGTAGGATACTGTGGTGGATAGAACCGCACATATCGATTTTATGATCATTTTAGGTTTTATCGTGCTAGTATGGAGATACGGAGTATAGAATCGTGTTAGGATCGGGATACCAGTGAAGTGTGGAGCATCTGTTTTGTTTAAATTTTGTAAAATTAGAGACAAATGACAAAATTTTGAGGCAGGGACAAATTGAGCGAAACCTCTCGATTTGAACAGATTCTTCGCCGCTTAGCTGTAGTTAGTCTGTGAATTTGAAGTTGTGTATTTGAGCTGAATTTGTTAACCTCAATGGGTGGCATTGTATAATGATTTTGTACAAAATTCTGCTAATGATAAGTCAATACCAGTACTGATGGTTGGTTGGTTGGTCTTCCACCTACCAAAATTTCTATCCCGTCAATGAAAAGCACAGATGTCGTACTGATGATTTGATGAAGACAAGGGGGTATGTTTGTTTCAAAAAGAAAGTCAGAAAAGCATATCACAAATCTTTAATCCATTTTAGTTAGGCATAACAGCAGCATCCAGAAATAATTTTCTTTTTTTAAAAAAAAACATTTTGTTAATAGATGAAGAATATGAAGTATGCTTTGAATAATTTGACCCAGTCATTCTAACCAAAATCCATATGAAAGCAAAGCTGCATTATTATTAGTGTTTTAAATAGCAGGCAAAGATATTTAGCGGTTGATCTTCTCTAATAGTTATAGTGGGTTAAATGGAGATATAGCGGCTAAATTGTATATGAGAGCGAACCCTTCTTGAACAGCTATGGCCGGAGATAACGGTAGCTATATAGTCAGAGATTTAAAACCCGATTATTATCAAACAAACATGCACTCAGCTGAATCCATAAACACCATTACACAAACCTGGTAGTAGTACAACAGATTTATAGGTGTCCAAACGGGCGGCACGGCCCGGCCCGGCACGGGCACGGTTCCGGCACGGCCCGTTTCGGCACGGCCCGTTAGGCACGGCTGATGAAACGGGCCGTGCCGTGCCGGCCCACGTGCCGAGCCGCCGGCCCAAGCACGGCCCATGGATGGCCGGGCCGTGCCCGTGCCGGCACGGCACGCCCGCGGCCCACGGGCCGTTCGGGGCACGGCGGCCCGTGAAGGCAGGCCGCCAGCCCGCCAGCCTGCAGTGCACAGTGTTTTTTTTAAAAAAAAAAGCAAAGGAAATGTATAAGGAAAAAAAATTAAAAATGGAAATAAAATGTTTAAAAAAAAGTAATGATTTACTAATGTTAAAAAATGAAAAAATGGTATTTAAAAAATGGAAATAAAAGTTTTTTAAAAAAGTAATGATTTGCTAATGTTAAAAAAAAGAAAAAATGGTATTTTTTTGTTGTGTTGAAAAATTTAAAAATATAGATTGTGATTCATTATTTTGAAATAATTTAAAGATAAATCCACACTTGCGAAAATATTGCAAAAGAATTTGTTAAAAATAGTAATGACCTTTATTGATGTTTATATCATTACAGGATACAATGATACATGCTGCCTCGTTAAAAACTTTGTCATGTAAAAACTCATAGGGGAAAATGAGAAAACCATGACAAAGAAAAGAGTACAGCTCAAAGGTCAGAACTACTTCTAACAAAATTCTACTGGGGTTGGTCTGGATCCAGGTAGAGTTGCTCGAACTGGGCGGCCAATTCTTGGTTGTCCGCAGTGTATTGGGCATGTTGTCGAGCAAGCTCCCAGTCTTTAACGCTTAGTAGCATTTCGACGTGGTCGCTGCGCAGAGTCGTCCTCCGGTCTTCGATGATTCGGCCGCATAGACTGAAGGCCGATTCGGAGGACACCGTCGACACGGGCACCGTCAACACATCCCGTGCTAGTTTTGAAAGCACAGGATATGTTATCTTGTGGTCATTCCACCACCCGAGGACGTTGAAATCTTGTGCTTCGTGGTGGATGGCGTCGCTGTCCAAATAACCGGACAACTCTTCGGCCACAACATGCGAAGAGGCGTCTCCACTTGTAGCCGACGAACTGCCACCACCTTGGATTGAACTTGAAGACGATCCACCCCAAATCCTACCCCACTGTATCTTCTTCTTACCTGTAGTGGGGATAGGAGGGGGTCTCTGCTGGCGAACTTCCTGAAACTTTACTTCATATCTTCCAAAAACCTCATATAATTTACGTCTAACCTCAGTATAAAAAGAACTATAATCTACACCTATAGTATCTCCAACAAGTGATAAAATAGCAGACAATCCCCTTAATTTACACCTAGGATCTAAAACAAAAGCAAGAGCATACAACATAGGTATATTTTTCCAATATTTCAAATATTTTTGTTTCATGTGAAAGACAGGTTCAGTTAGAACGTCATCATTTTCGTATTCTTTAAATAAAGTAGCAATTTCAAGAAGGTTGTGCAAAATTATATTAGCAGTTGGATAATAAACTTGTGACAAAGTTAGAGTACAATCATAAAAAGTTTCTAGAAATTGGTAAAATTTTTGGACAATTGCCCAAACATGCTCGTTCAGTACTGAAGACCCGTCACTGTTTCTTGGGCCACCACGTGACTGAACAAAATCAGAAAGTAAACTACTATAAGGTAAAACAACTTTTAACATTAAATACGTTGCATTCCACCGATGCTCTGCATCGGTGGCAAACTTACGAGCTTTCACACCGGCCGCATTGCAAAACCTCTTCCATGCAGCAATCCGCGGGTTAGAAGCAGTTAACCACGCGATTGCTTGACGAACAGCATCGATGTGGTCACCTACCCTCTTCATGCCAGTCTTAACAATCAAATTAATTATATGACATGCACAACGCTGATGGAGTAGAAAAGATTGAGCATACACACAAAATAAAGGTTGCAATATTTCAATAGCCCTAGAATTAGCAGATGCATTATCTAGGGTGACAGCAAATATTTTATCAGCAAGATTAAATTCATTAATTACTTCCCTAATTCTTTCAGCTATGTTTTCTCCTGTATGTGAGACATCTATTAACCTAAGCCCTAAAACTCTCTTTTGTAATTGCCAATCATCATCAACAAAATGAACAACTACGCTAAGATAATCCTCTCTAGCTCTACTACTCCATATATCTGAAGTAACACTAACAGAGAAAGTACATGTACTAAACAGTTCCTTAAGTGCAGTTGCTTCCTTGTGATAAACATTCTCTAAATCTCTAGTTGATGTTTGCCTACTCACAGCTTTAAACCTAGGGTTATGAGATTGCTGAATGTAATGTTCAAAAGCAGGGGACTCCCCAAAGTTCAGGGGTAAATCTTGCCTGGCGATTAACCGGACAAGAGATTCCCGAGCAACCATGGGATCGTACTCCCAACTGCGTACCGTACCGTCTGGGTTTACCATAAGTTGCTGCTGCCGGAGTTGTATTCCTTGCTTCTTGGCACACGACTCCGCATGGCGCTTGAGGTGACCTGTACCACCAGAAGAACGAGCAGATAAAATTTGCCTACATATTCTACAACGGGCTTTCGATACCTCCCTTCCGTCGGGGCATGTTTCCTTTATCTCGTCGAAGCTTTGCCACACACCGGAGGTTCTCGATCTCTTCGAGCCGGTGTGTGTCGAAACACTTCCGCTCGCGGTTCCGGAAAATCCTTCCGAAGCTGTCTCCGCCTGAACCGGTACCTCCTCAACGACATCCGTATGAACCGGTACCTCCTCCACAGATGGTGGAGTTGGAGCCGATCCGGAGGTACCGTCAAACCCCGACATGTAGTTGGGGTCGAAATCACCCAAGGTGAACGACGGCGACTGGTATGGAAAGTTCGGATCCATTCTGAAAATTTAAACCGACATAAACAAATTTTCGAATATTTATTGAATTCACAAACACAATACAAATAATACACAAATTTGAATATTACTTACATCTTTCCAACCGCGAGCTCTTCAAACCTCTGCGATCAAACTGTTGAACTACGAAACTAATTTTGATTTTTGACAAAATTTGAGCAAATTTTGTCAAAATCAAAAAAAATGCACACTTGAGAACAAAGAGAGCACTTAAAACACTTGAGAGCACAAGATGAGGAGTGTGGGATGAGGAGAAATGGCTGGGGTTCATGCCCTATTTATAGGGCGAAATTTGAGATTTTTTGGAATTTTTTCGAAATTTTTATGAATTTTTTAGCCTCCCAACGGTTATTTTCAAATTTGAACGGTCAAATAGCCGTTAGTGCCACGTGGCGCCTTCCCATTCGACCGCCGCCCGCCCTGTCCGCGCCTGACGGGCCGCCGGCGTGCCGTGCCGTGCCGTGCCGCGGGCCGTGCCGTGCCGGCCCGCTACAGTAGCCGTGTCGTGCCGTGCCGGCCCGCGGGCTCGGCCAGCGGCCCAAGCACGGCACGGCTACTCGTGCCGTGCCGGCACGGCCCGTTACTGTAGCAGGCCGTGCCGGGCCGTGCCCTGCTACAGGTTCGGCCCGTGCCCCCGGGCCCGCCCCGTTTGGCCCCGGCCCCATTTGGCCCACCTCTAAACAGATTAAACATGGGGCCGTTGATACATGTCTCTGACAGGCATAGTAAAGTCTCCTCCCCTTACAAACACAGGTAGAATAGACCTCGCAGTTACCAGAGTTCAAGTGACATTACAGATATCCAAATGTTCATTCGATCTTCACATCCATTATTCACTAACATTACAGAGAGTTCATGACCAGTTCATCATCTCAGCAGTCTCGATTGATCGTCGAATTTACCGCAGTAGTAGGATTCAGTAAGCTGCAGACAGAAGCAGCAGTGGACAGAGGTCACCGTCGTCCCCTTCAGCTGATTTACTCGAGCTCATTTCTAGGTCAGTGGTGGCACAGGATCTTTCCCATGTCGCCTGGGGCGCCTGGGATTCGCCATTTTGCGCTCTGGAGAAAAGGCAATAGCAAAATGGGTTTAGAACAAAGTCATGTGGAACCTCTTTTTTTACTGCAAAAAAGAGTGTATTTTTGGTGCATTTCTGGTATATCTCATGACTGTTCAAGTGATCAGGGAGACAGATTGCGTACCCCCGATATCGATGAGCCTATCCAGTCGTGCCACGACGTGCTTTGCATAGGTGCAGTCGTGAAGCAGGCTGTGGTGCGCCCTCAAGCGCCTGAGTATTAGCTTCCGCTGCCACTCGTCGCAGGTTTCAATCACCTTCTGTACAACGTAGTTAGCATATTGGTCGTTCACCATAACCTGCATTATCCACAGAAATATATAAGACCAGATTCACAATGGTTGTATCATTTTCAAGAGCATTTAAGTACCAGTGTAAACTGTTTTTTTTCTTTCAAAAAAGTATGGATGCTTTTCAGGAACCATTGTAGAGTGGACAAGAAGCTACACTTCATGCTAATAACTTTGATGTAACTTCCATGTGCTGGAAGATTCATTTCAAATTATTTTTATGTTCATTTTAAGTTCTATCATTTCTATGAATACATCTAGCCACCTAAGCATCAGATATTCAGAAGAAGGTTGATATATACCACAAGAGCCTCGGTTTCACCACTTCTGACGAGGTCCGTTGTGCCGATGACCTCATTAATGATCTTCTGTTTTTCATCATAGCTACCAAATATTAAGCACTTTTCAATGACATTAGAGGCGAATTTTTGCTTGCTCATGGCCACAACTCTCCCAATAAATTTCTTTATAATTGCAGATCGCACAAGGGCTTTCCCGTGCTGCAATATGTTCTGCAAAAGAAATAAATCAAACAACAAGGTAAATGGGAATGCACATCCGGTACAAAAAATTCATAGCAACCCCCATCCATGTATGGTAGGTAAGAAAATTTGCAGATCCTGCAGCTTCTTAGAACAATATATGTATAGTAGTAATGAATAATGAATAACATCAAGAAGGCAATACAAACTGACTGACCTGCACAACATAGTTAGCGTATTGATCTTTCGCCATATAGTAAACCTCCTCTATAATCTCTTCTAGAAAGATCTCCTGGATCGATGAATCAAAGTACTCCAGAATTCTCTGAAAATAAATGGGGAGGATGACATATGGATTAGTTGACTCCGTGCTACAAATGCATTGCAAATTAGCGAAAAAGTAATGAATTAAATTACCTGGATGACACGGCATCCGTATGGATGGACTGATAACTCCACAACACGCCCATACATGCTCTCCACAAAGAACTGTATGAATCGTGGTGGCACATGCTCTATACATTTCTGGACAACATGGTTTGCATTTGGGTCATGTATACATTTCATGATATTACTATTGAGCTCCTTGGCAATCTGTATCTTCTGATCTAGATCACTAAGCTCTACAGCCTGCATAAGAAAGCAAGGGGCAAGAAAAGGAGTTGTGGGCATTAGCTAACCAAACATAACACTTCAAGGAAAATAAAGAACTTAATTATGTGTTCTATTAATACATAGATGATAGACAAACTAAAACAATGAAGGTGCTTTGTTTCTAACAGTAGCATAGGCGCACATGGGCAAAAGTACACGCCACTTCAAAATATGGTAATTATTCCCAAAAACGGTAGATTGGGGTAATCTTTTCTTTGATAAATGTCAGTACCTTCAGTTTTCCCCTATTATCAATGATGTCCTCCTTTACTCACCAACCTCATTTGTCGACATCTAAACTTTATTTATTTCCCTTGTCCTATATACATTATGTGTCTGTTTCTCTGCTCAAAATTGGTCGAATTTCTTTTGACCGTTGATGGAGATCCAACCGCCCAGATTCTCCTATCTTCCCTATATAATCCCACCTATGTGACCCAACACTCCAACCCTAATCCCCCTAGCCGCCGCCTCGATCAACCGCTCCTACGCTGCCTCCATCTCCCTCGCCGGCACCAGGGCTGCTCCTGGTGCCGGCGAGGCCCTTTGTGGCTGCCACCTCTTGTGCAAGTGAGAAATTTGATTCCACCACCTCATACTTTCTCCTGCGCCACCCCTCCACCGCTATGACTGCCATCTTTGATCTTTCCATCTCAAGTTGCCGCCAGATCTGCTACTTATCACCACCCACCCTACTCCCTACCTTCTGGGGTAGGGAGCTCTGGTAAAGGCCAACTCTTACCTGGTAAACTTGAGCACTGACCCATCAGTGTTGGTGGGGATGCAGCAGGTGAAGGGGAGTGTATCAAAGTGGAACAATCAAGAGATAGGAGTCCTTGATGTGAAACTGACACAGCTGATAGAAGTGGACAACGCCGCTCAAGAGCACAAATCAGCAAGAAAAATTCAAAGGTGTGAAATTCGACTAATCCCCTTCCCCTAATCATACCCCCGTTCAAGAGAATACCAGACTGAGATTTAGATCTTTATATGAAGAAAATCAGATATGCAACAGTATGAAGTGATATTAGACATGAAATGCACATTACCCTCTGGACTACTCGACACCCGTATAGTTGACAGCTTAAGCTCGAAACACTTCCAAAAAGGCAAGCTGTAATTTCCCTTCTTTGAAATGGGGCTCCATGCTCGATCATCTGGTGGAAAAGGAAATAAATATAAGTGTGTGAATTTTCTAGTGTCTGCTTACATATTCAAATGTAGAAAGTTGAAATCATTTGGAGTAAAACCTTTTGCAGCACATAATTTCCAAATACATCAGTCACCATTTCAAGAAAATGAGGCATGATTTCTTTAAAGACCATGAGTTTCTCATCAGGTGTCGCTGTTGGAAGCTTCTGCTGTATAAAGCGGCTCCCACACTGATCAATGCTGCAAAAGAGAAAACAAGAACAGCAATGTGGCCATCAGAAAACATAGTTTTATGTCTTGCATACATGTGAATGGTTCTTTAGCAGCCTATCATCTGCAACTTCAGAGTTGATACAAAGTTCACAGACCTGCATTGAAGCACATGGCCTTCTATGTGAAAAAGCCGGTAATTCCCTTTGTTTAAGCTGCTGAACTTCCTATGTAATAGAAGGGCATTGAGTTCCTCATTATTTAGCCTTTTGGAATCATGTATGTGTGCGACATCCACATCAGATCTTTCAAAACCTGAAGTGTCATTCTTATGAGAAAGCTCAGTACCACAGCCAGGTGTTGGATGACTCTCTTGATGTGGCATCTCCCTTTCCATATCAACACCATAGCATTGATCTACTGTATTCATGACACGGGCTGGAATACGAGAAGGATGATAAAATGAAAGGAAGAATGCTTCATGATCCTTTACTATATCAAGAAATTCCTCAGTTGGGTTCATCCTGACAGAAGTCTCATCATTGCCATAAAATGGATGTGCTTCAGATGCAGCTGCTCTCTCATGATGCCTCTGAAGCTGCCTTTGAACCTGCCTCTGAAGTTGCCTTTCAAGTTGCCTCTGAAGTTGCCTTTCAAGTTGCCTCTGAAGCTGCCTTTCAACCTGCCTCTGAAACTGCTGCCGAGCACTCAACATGTTTGAATTTATAGTGTCATCCAGACCCCTTTGTTGAACATATTGGGGTCTCCGTTCTGCAGAATCAAAGTTCACTTGGTGGCTTCGCCTTGTGGCTTGAGGTAGAACAGATGTGGCATAGGCCTCCCTTGCATGTGTTCTCATTCTTAGAGGCAAGGTGGAATTAATATTGTATCCATCTGGTTGGTATATTGAAGATAAAACAGTGCCCTGATGATCAGGATTACCACCAGAACTTGAACCTCCAGACATGGAAGAAAGAGGACTTCCTAGCAGAGAACTGGCACCTCCTGATACTGTATTGAAAGGGCGAGGAGGACCCATCGTGGTTGATGAGCTACCAGAACCTGGTGAACATTTGACAGAAGCACTATTCAGTTGTGAGGATTCAGAGCTTTGACGGCGCAAAAAGGAAGATGTTCTTGGCAACTCGTTATATGTGCCAAAAGAGTGAGATTCAGTGTTTTCACGGAGAGAAATTTGTCTCCGAAGATTTTGCTGGTTGAAATCAGCATTTCCCATCATTGTCTCACTCTGCAAGTTGATCCTTGGCAATTCACCAGAGATGACATTAGTACTAATTCTGCGAGACGAGGATGGCCTGAACAGTTCCATCTGGGAATCATCATGAGGTCCAGTCCATAGACTGCTATTGCTGCTTTCATATAGGGACCTGTGTGATGCTTGTCTTGTAACCCGAGGAGCAAACTGCCTCTGTATATTGCTGGCTGCAGACTGATGACCAAAAGCTGAATATGTTTCTGTAACATCAGAATGCAGGGACTGTTGTGATGGTTGCCTTACAACCTGAGGAGCATACTGAATCTGCATGCTGTTAGCTGAAGTTTGGTGATCCAAAGTGGAGTATATTTCCGAAACATCAGCATGCACCCTATCACCCAGGTTGGGAGATTTGTTCTCTACATCCCTGGAGGAAACAGCTGTGCTGCGAAGCAGGGACATACCTGGGTTGCTATCCCCAACATTTTCTTGGTAACAGGGCTCTTTAACATGGGATGTCATTGAGGTGGATGCAGCTTCGATTGTTGGTTGCAATGAAGGATGGGTGCGATGCATCCTTGGATTGTATTCAGGGTGCTCTAGCAACTGTCTCGCCATATATGGGTGTTGTGAAGATGAACTGGCACTTGTACCATGTGAGACAGAAAACACAGGATGGTAGGGCTTAGCAGAAAGAGCATTTACCATGTTTTGCCCAACCTGCACTTGTTGTGGAACTCCTGTTACAGTTATATCTCCAGCATCATCCCTGTTTAATCCTGAGCCTGATTCAAACCTCTGATAACCATCTATTTGTTTCTGAAGCTTCAGTTGGTTGTATTCAGTGTTTTCTTTAGCACTGTTGGTTGGCAAGTTCATCCCTGACAAAGTGCTAGTGAGGCTACCAGTATTGACTCCTTCAAATGAAGATGAGGCAATGATTTTATCACGGAGATCACTGAGTCCAGTCAGTTGATAAGGGTTTTTGCTTCCATATAAGGCTCTATGTGATGGTTCTTTTGCAGTTTCACAAGCAACTTGCATTTCTTGACCAGAATTTCCAATATATTTGGCCTCTCCTGATGAACTCACAACATGTTGGGAAGATGAATTGCTGGAACTAACACCTTGAGTCACAGGAAATACAGGGTGGTATGGCTGAGCAGAAAGAGCCTTCGCCATACGTTGCTCAAGCTGCTTTCCTGATTTGGCTAGTGGACTCCCTTTACCTGATAAACCTCCAATGGCATCTCTGTTCAGTTCTGACCAGGATTCGGTGTTTCCATCAGCACTTGTTTGTTTTTGAAGCTTCAGCTGGTTGAATCCAGTGGCATCAGAGAAGTTATCACTATAGAGGCTTTGAGATGAGGATGACCCAGCCAGTTTATATTGTGAATCCCCTAGTCCAATCATTTGGCCAGAATTGCAGCTTCCATAAATGGCTCTGTATGATGGTTCTTGAGTCTGACAAGAAGCTTGGATCTCTGTGTCAAAGTTTCCAAAATATTTGGCTGCTTCAGACTGCATATCCCAAGAAAAGGGCATGCCTGCAACCTCAGTAGGCGCCTTTTCATCTGGAGCGGACATGTGTTCACCTGGGATATCCTGAGCAGGAAATGGAAAAGGTTTTAGTAAAACAAAAGGAGGTGGTTTACTTATTTGCATAGATTGCATGCAAAATATTTATATTAAATAAAGTAATCCCAGAATTCATATAGTTATTTAATAGATTACCCATTATATGTATTCTATAGCTTTACATTGTGGTAGAGATATTGCAATGGTTGCCATATGATGAAATGGTGCGTTGAATAAATATCATTGAACAAGACAGTCAAACATATCAAGAAGCATAATTACTCTTGGTAGAGGTAAGAAAAATAGCACATCAAGAATCAGTAAGAATAATCATGAAGCAATCTTATTGCTGTAACTTCACAAAATTATCTGGCAAAAATATAACATAAAAGTAGAATTGAATACTCATGATGTCAAAGAACTAATGGTTGATCAATGATCACAGTACAATACAGACATAATGAAAATAACAAAACATGAGGAACAAATCCAAGTATCCTAACAGCACAACATGGTTTTTAGTTCTCTGGCAGAGTTACATTTTCTCATATATCAGAGTCGTCACATTTACTAGCTTATTAATTGCTTGCCCCCAAATTTAAAAAGCTAAGGGCCTTCCTCTTTTATCTATTCCCTGAAGAAGGTATCTCATCTACGGGATTTTTAGTACAGGAGATATTTTCGCAACAATTCTTTGGAACTTTGGACTTAGGGCTGCAAGATAAACATAAATAGAAAAAAATCAATTCACTGAAGGAAAGACATGAATAGGCACAGTTGGTGTAAATCATGAAAAATAATGGTTTTGGAAAAGCTTATAGTGTGTCCAGTGTCCACTCAACTGGGTACTGTTTTTTTTAAATGAAATATAAATTGATGACAGTGCAAAATTATCCTAAGCAAGAGTTTTTATCGGATATAATCTACCAAAGCAATACCAAGACTACTGCTAGTGCTCAACAATACCATGGCGCTAAACCACTGTAGGCATGTTTTGACATACAGAATTAGGCAAACCTGCTATGGAAATACAAATATATTACAAAATATCTTAAGAATGAGTCATACAGCACAAAACCAATGCAATATCTGGCACAATTCGGTAATCCGAGCTAGGTAAGGGAGTTGTACTGACTTACATCATCTTGAGTCCAAATGCAACAAGACAAAGCTTGAGAGCATGATCTAGTTCGGAGTTTTTGCACTATCCAGTGCCTACCAACACACTATACAGAACAATGCAACATCGGCCAATAATATAGAAGAAAACCCCTGAAGGCCTGCTACTTCTAGGAATTCAATCTTTGGCTTTTGCTTTTCAGCCCTACCTTCCGAGTTTGGCCCAACAAAGCCATGTTCGAATAGTTAGGTATATATTTATGCCAGAATTATGCATACAATTTTGTCACATCAAAGAATGAAAGTTGCTGAGGAAGTGAAGTTATTCTTTATTAATGGATCTTCAACCTTGATGCAATACAACATCAATTTCTCGATATATACATTTCTAATGGGTGGTTCTTTTTTCAACTGCATTATATCTTAGCCTACACAACATAGATAGGTTGTAGAACAAGTAGAAAGCAGCAAGTGAACCATTCACTGCACTGTGGCAATACAGACTGTAGCATGGGCTAAGTGACTAGGCCAATGCCAAGACGGATAGTGAATCCCTGACTTTGTTGATTTGTGCATGCCACTATGGTGTGTTTGAAGTCCTTATAGCATCAAAGGGCCATGCAAGATCAGTCGCATGAACTTACAAACACTACTGTTACAAAAGACAACTAATATCATTTCAGTCTGTCATGTGAGCAATTGTTTTTGGCTGTGTTCTCCCATTCCGGGTGGAGAGGCCTGATTTTTAATCCATTTTCTACAAAATGGGAGCACTTGTGTGGTTTGACTCCCTTGTTTGAGCCAGGATCCGAAGTATATGATCTATTCAGTAATTCAACTATTCAAAAATAAAATGAGCATTGTTGAATATTTGCGGAAAAAAAGTTGCATTAAACTAAACCTAATGGAAAACCTCTAGACGCTATTTACACTTAAGGAAGTTGCTAGAATAAATAATTCAATATACAACACTGCCCCTGGCCAGCTAGTTACTACCGACTAGGAACATTGGGACAAGTTACTAGAATGGGATAAATAGTCAAGCGATTTAGATCATCAACAATGGACGGAAGAATGCATGTGTTAGTGTTCTTGCCAATGGTGCGCACAAGCACGTGCAAGAAAACATGGAAGGTGTAGAATTATTTTGTATATGTGGTTTTTGGTTTGCAGTGATTCTCCACAGTAGTCGATATTACAACATACTTAAGAAGACTAAGATAAATTCAAGAAATTGGAAACAATGATGTTGACAGCTTCTGCAGGTTTGAGAAAACCGTGGGCTCATTGAAGGTGACCCATCCCAACGCTGGTGAAGTTGATGCCGCGTTAACTGAGACTTTCAATTTAATTCCTTGTCACCATAGAAGCTTTTCCTTGCCAGAGAAGCCATTGTTGTGGGGAAAATAAAGGTTATCATAAAAAGAATATCCAAAATAAGCTTTAGTTGGAGAAGACATGCTCCAAATAGCATGAAAAATCTTAAAACTACCATAGAAGACATTGATGAGGAATCGCCATTATCATTGACGTTATCAACAACAAAGGGGGTCTTTTCTCGTCGGAAATGACACACTACCGATGATATCCACTGAAATCATAGCTTCCTCCGCTGATTCGACTTAGCCTGTCAGTAAATTCCTTCTTCTTGTCGGCACACCACTAAAGCCATGGGAACAAATGAAAGTAGGCGATAGGCTTCTTGGCGATTCATGACTCATGAGTGTTAATGAGGTCCAATCGGAACACAAAGGAAGGTTGAACAGTTTGTCTGCATACACCTCACAACCCATCCAAGCCATGCACATATTAGGCAAGCTGCCTATCCTAAACCTACTTATTCAAATCCACAGAAATGGCTCAATATGCACAGATTCAACTTAACAAGCCCAATCCCCAAAGGAAACAAAGCCTAAGCTTCCATATGCTTCTGATAGGCTAGTGCTGAAGCCCCAACATTGAAGCCAGACAATGTGATTTCCCCCCTTATTTCCCATAGCAGCATATTACCAGATTTCATAATAAATAAGTAGATTTATTTATTGATTTTCTATCAAGTGGATTCACCAATGTCAATAGCACACACTTCTCCATCAACAAGCACCAGACCATACAAAACCATTCCATCTACTTAAAACTCGAGCAAAATACTCCAATCCAACGCAACGAAATCCCCCTAAAAAGCGCGTAAAATAAGCAGAAGCGGAACGGGGGAGAGAAGTGCAAACCACTCGGCGGCATCCAGCCGTGGCGGCCGGCGGAGACGAGCGGGAGTAGAAACCCGCTCCATCCTCCCTCCCCGCGGCTTCCGTCTACGGCGGCGCGACGCCGGCGGTCGCCCGCCTCCGCCGCGCGCGGCCATCGCCGCTGCCGCCGCCGGCGCACAGTAAAACTAGCAGTCGAACCCAACAGGAGAGGGCTCTCCCCTTATATGGGCCGCACATTTTTTTTCCTGGGCCGATTCGGTACACAAATCTGGGCCCAAGAAAGGCCCAAAAGTTTTGGTGTTTTTCATTTAGCCCCCTCTAGTGCTCGAGATTTACTAACCCGTACAAAACATGCAATATCCATCGATTCCGTGTCTACGTGTTATTTGCAGTTTGCTCTAAAAGGTGGTCAATGCATCAGTTACGTCCTTAATATATTATTAATCTATATAATAAAAAGTTATCACAAAGAATTAAGCTAACTTGAACAACATGGTAAAGGCAAAAAATCAAAATAATTTACTGTATATAATTAATTAATATATAGGCCGGTCTAACTGGAAAGAAGTAAGCCAAGTAAGTAAAAACAAATAGTTAAAGTGTAAAAATTAACGGTCAAATATGCAAAGGAAGAAAAATAAGAGATGAACTTAATTTAGCACACATGCATACCAGCAGCAGATTATCTTAGCTTACTAGCTATACCTGTTTAATCGCATGCTTCCAAAAACAAATTACGATGATTAAAAACAGCATGCAGCTAGCACAATAAATTTGACAGCACATACTACCAGCAAAACAAAAAAAAGATTAATTAATCAGCTGGCATATTTGTATTGTTTTGTAACTGAACTGAAAAAGGTAATTTCCCCCAAACAAAAAGAGAAAGAAAAAGTAATAATTCGAGATCGATGCAGCCAATAGAAGATGACGCCATGCATGCGAGCAAGCAAGCATGGCTACCAAGGATGGATATGTGCATATCTCGTTGGACCTCACCTGCTGCTGCAGCAAGTTCGCCGGAGTAGTAGCTGCCACGGCGGAGCCGCCGCCGCCGCCGGCGAGATTGTCCCACATCGATGGGGCGGCGCCGCCGCCGCCGTGCTCGCCGTCGTCGACGTCGCTCCCCACGAAGCCGAGCTCGCTCATCGTCTCCATGCGGTCGAAGAACTGATCAAGTGGCCTGCTTCCTCCTTGGTGACCAGCCATGGCAGTAAGAGAAACTTGTATTTATAAAGCCCTAGCTATAGCTTTGCCAAGAACAAGCAAAAGGGAACAGCGTTTAATTAGAAATTAACCAACCAAAACTAGCAAGGAATTCGTTGAAAACACTACTCCAAATTAACTAAACATGGAAACTTAATTGAGTTATATATCAAGGGGATAAATAGATCAAAGGGATCGATCTAAATATATTTTCTGAAAAACTCCATGAGAATTGAGCATGCATATGCAACCGTGAAAAAAAAAAAAAAGAAACTGAACATATGTACACACACATGTGGTTAATTAATAACTATACATATATACCTGGCAAATCTTTACTGATCAGTAACAAGCTAGAAAGAACACCAGACAAATAATCCGAGCTTTATTTTCAAGCTGTTCTGCTACTAATTAAAAATCCCTTTTCTCTTTTCAAGCTGTTCTGCTACTAAAATCCCCCCAAACAAATCAAACCTTCACGAAAGCTAATCGAGATGAACTCCCTGCCAAAACAAGAACATATAAAACAAAGAAATGGTTAATTAATCACTCACTCCCCCCAAAACAAAACCAAAACAAAAACAAAAAGAAGAAGATAAATCCGATAAAAATCCTCACGTGATTCATCCAAAGATCCAAACAGCAATCTAGCAAGCAAGCAAAGCAACCCCAAGATCGATCAACCACGCCGCCGCCGCCTCGCTCGCTCGTCTCCCCCAACTCCGGCCAGAACGCCGCCGCCGCCGCCGCCTGGAAACACGACCGCCGGATTCCTCCTCCCCCACAAGAACACCTCAACCGCAAGAGCTAGGAGCTACCAGATCGCCCGATCTCTCTCGATCTCTCTCTCGAGCAAGGCGAGCAGTGACGCGAGGTGGTGATGAGGCGAGAGCGCTGGAAATGGCGATGATGAGCAGGAGAGAGGAGGAGGTGGAGGAGAGGAGACTGACGCAGCGAGCGTTTTATACCGAGTCCGAGTTGGCGAGGGGCTGCGTGGCGCGTGCGGGGCCGTCCGATCTCGATCCGACGGTCCAGATCGGCCGCGGCGGGTATCCTTCTCAGGCGCGCATCTTTTTCAGGAACAACCCTGGGGTTCCGGATATTTATGTACCTATGTGTTGTTAGGTAGCTCTGGTATTAATGGTTGGAGATGGATATAAATATTATATTAAATTTTATTTGTATTTATAAATATTAAAATTCATCATATAGATATACATAGACCATCTCCTTCAGTTACTTTTACTCAAGCATCCGAAAATATTTGGGTGCTTGTCACCGTGCGATTTTGTTTCTGTCCCTCACTGACGGGTGGGGCCACCATGTCAGTATGGAGGTATATTCTGCTTCTCGGTGGCTACTGACATGTGGGGCCCCGGGCTGCGTTCTGGTGGGAGCAAGCGATTTGCTGGTTAGCACCAAAATTAGCATCAGGGTGATTACACCAGCAACGTACGCGTGCACGTAGCACAGAGAAGAAATTGATCCCGATGACAGGTGGGTCCCGACGATGGTTGGGCCCACATGTCATTGTGTAGTGTAGCGGGTGTTGGCGTGACCTCGTGCTGAAGGTGGGGCCCACCTCAGGTACTCCCTCCCCTGCATGAGAGGGGTGTTGGCTGAACGGATCGGGATGTGATATGTAGAGTGTTTTAGGGCTTATTTGCAAAAATGAGTTACACTTAAAGCATCACAAACCTCTCCCAAATACTCCCTCCGTGCCATAATATAAAGTATTTTAGAAGGATGTGACATATTTTAGGACTACGAATCTGGACAGACTCCCTGCACAGATTCATAGTCCTAGGATATATAATATCCCTCCAAAATCTGAGATGGAGAGTACAGTATAAATTACGGGCCGGCATGTGAACTAAACTAATTGAACGAGATATATATGGGCTTATTTGCACACATGAAGATACTCTAATTAAAAAAAAAAGTTTAGGCGTGTGGAGACTTGTTTGGAGTGCATGCAAAGATTTCACATGTTATTTTCTTCAGAAGTTTGCATGAAAAACAGCTTAATTATTTTTTTTTGGCATTCCAAACGTAGTTGGTTGAATACCAATTAAATGGTGAACAAATATTTCAGAGCTAATAAGTTTGTTGCGTTTCTATTTCGTCCTTGATTAATGAACAGTGTGAATCGGCCGATCATAATATGGTTCGAAGTTCACGCCTAAACTAGCAAACAATTTTGACAGATAGCTAGCGAGAAAATCCAAATCAAAACAACCGTTTGTCCCGATCCACACCCTAAAACGGCATCACAAAGGCAATCTCTCCTCCATTTGAACGTTTCTTGCTCATCAATATACAATGTACTTACCACATTTGCTCGACGTTCAAATATTTGTTAGACTATTGTTCTCCTATTAGTAAGAATACATTAATTTTGTAATAAGATCCATTGGCATGAATCTTGATTAGAGCAACCAGCCTCTTTTCATATTCACCTTGGACTCAACTTTTCCATGCTTCTCTTCACACCACATTTCTCCACCTTCTAGTTGTCGCGACAGTAACAAATGGTGAACTCGCATGTGGCCATGGTTAGAGGTGCTAAGATCGGACACAATACCTCCACTATCATGCAAGCACAAGAAAATGAAAGTGCATTGAATGGAAATGCCATATTTATTCGTCCGCAGATATCCTCACTAGAGAAATGCTAGTAAATCAGGGGACAATCCTAACACAACTAGACACCCCAAGATGTCGGTGCCAACTCAACTCGGCTCACCTAGCAAACATTGCAATACAAAAGGGTGATGTCTCCTTTAGTATCCTCCCAATGGAGGTTAGGATCAGTACGTATCTAGCTTCTTCAAAATAATAGTAACGATCTCAAATGGATGGGTCGAAGAAGACAAACTAGGGATCCGACAAACGTCCTAATCTAAGGCCAATTTTTGTCGTCATCCCGAGAGATAACGAGAAGAATAATTCTAACTGTCCGGATGCATGCGGAAGATACTCTTGGATCATGTTTGTTGGCGCTATTCGGTGTCTCCGACAAGAATTATCCACTCCTATAATTGATATATATATATATATATATATATATATATATATATATGACACTCATATGGGGCACCATGGTGCCCGGGCACCATGGTATCTAATGCACAAAATCACTCAAATTTTTTAAAATTTTCAAATTGTGAGTATATACCTAGTTATAATAATTTGATTCATACCTATACTTATCAACAAAACAACTCAAATTTAACTTTATTTCACAATCCATGATTACATACCTAACAAATTATATGTATGGATGCTATATACCTAGAATCAAAATCTAACAAAAACAAGTTCAAATTCAGTTCAAACTTGCTTTAAACTAGTTAGTAAAGTAGTTAATGTTAATACCTAAGTAATTGAAAAAGTTTCATACTTATTTGAATTGGGTATATACTCAATTTTAACAATGGTGCCCGGGCACCATGGAGCACCAAACAAATTTAATATATATATATATATATATATATATATATATATATATATATATATATATATATATATATATATATATATATATATATATATATATATATATATATATAACAGAAACTATTTTTTTCTCACAAAATTCAACTTCTATTATGTCCAACATAGGCTTTTGGTAGTCAAATTTATTACATATTGCGAGTTCTAGACTTAGTTCTCCCAACGTCAAATGAATTTAACTGAAGGGCGCATTACCGATCTGTAGAATGAAAACCATAGTTTTATAGAATGGTCATCATAGTTATGATGAATACCGATCGTTTCACACCTTAACTTGTCATTTAGCCATATAGATAGAAAATCCATAAATATAGGCTGCATTGGTGTGTCACAACCAATTAATTAGGCTAAACTAAATAAGTACCCATAAATCTAAGTTGGTTCCAATCATGCGGAGATTATCTACAAACCAAAGCTAAATTTCATGCACGAGCAAAGTGATTATGGCATCACCATTCAACAAGTGGGGCCCTTTTTCTGACTATCACTGGAAAAATTTGCATGTAAATACGACCAAATTAGCATCGTCGAGTGATTACACCAGCAAAGCATGCATCACGCAGCATACACCACCATATGAACCATGGGTTTTTTTTTCTCAATGTCACTTGTTACATAGGAAGTAATTAATCAAATATCCCCATGACAAGTGGGTCCAACGGTGGTTGGGCCCTGTCATGCTCCAGTGTCGCTAGTGTCATGCCCATATGCAGCCGCAGAAGTGGGAAGGTGGGCCCCACCTCAGGTGCTCCCGTCCCATTCATGACGGGAGAGGGAGCAGATCGAGATGTGATTTGTAGAGTGTGTGAGGGCTTATCTGCAAAAGAGTTACTTAATTGAATTTTGTCCCACGGAAAACCAATTTCTACACTCCTACCTACCCCAGCCCATATAACAAGTTTTATCTCTTAAATACTCTTTACCTATCTATCATTATTACTATTTTTTCAATAATGAGAGGTATTTTGGTCATTTCTACCCTCTACTAATTTCACCATTGTCTCTTTGTGGGAGAGGAGTACAGTTACGTATCAAACCATACGAGGTTAAGCCTAAAAAAAAAGAAGATATATATGAGGTTATTTACACAAACGAAGATGCTCCAACAATAACGTTGGCGCGTATGTTTGGAGTGCAAATATATGTGAGATTTCACATGGTTTTAAATTCTTTAGAACTTACCTGAGATATACATGAAAAAACAGCTTAACCTTTTGGCGTTCAAACGTATAATTGGTTGAGAACAAGGTTGATGAACAAATATTTCTCAGATTTAAGTTGGTTTATGTTTCTATTTCGTGCTTTGAATGATGAACGGTGTGAATAGGCCGTTTGAGTGCCCGTTCACGCCTAAACTAATAGTAGTAACAATTTTGATAGCATTTGCTGGAGAGAAAAATCCAAATCAAAACAAAACCTTTGGTCCACACCCTAAAATGGCTTTATACAAAGGCAAACTCTCCTCCATTTGAATATTCTTGTTCATGAATATAAAATGTATTGCACCATCTAGCTAGCTTTACGGTCAAATATTTGTTAGGATATTGTTCTCCTACTATTTTGAATCCATGAAGTAATAAATATATGTTTGATAGAGTTACAACTCCTAATTTTAGCTTCAGGAGTTGGGTTAGGAGTGAAGATATGAAGTAGACTAAAAGGCCATGTTTAGTAGATCTCTAAACTCCAACTCCCAACCCTAAACTCCAACTCCAGTGAGAGCTGGCTCCTATAAGAGCTGAGGTTGGTATAAAAAGTGTTTAGCTAGATTACTCAACTCCACTCCACCACATCCCTCGTCGTCATTTCATCGAACACCTTGTAGGCATCACCCTGCCGTTGCCGCCGCCGGATAGCCCGCGAGTCACCGCCGTCAGTCAGCCCACGAGCCACCGCCGCCTGTCGACGCCGCCGCTCCCACGCCGCCGCTGCCTGTCTATGCTGTCGCCCAGACCGTCGCCTGTCGACGCCGCGAGCCGCCGCCGTCGGTCCACCGCCTGTCGACGCCACCGCCCACGCGCGCTGCCTAGGCTGCCGCCACCCACGCGCCACCGCCCAGACCGACGCTGCCGCCCGTGCCTGCCGACGCCGCGAGCCGCCGTCGACGCCACCACGTGCCGCCCTCCACCACCGCCTACCGTTGCCGAAGCGCCGCGGCCCACGCTCGCTGCCGCCGACACAGACGTCGCTGCTGCCACCACAGACGGCCGCTGGAGGAGGATATTGAGGAAGATGGAGAGGAGAGAGAACGCTAGGAGAGGGGTAGGAAGGGGTAGTTCAGTGGCATTTTTACGTAAATACACTTAAAAATTAAAGGGTAGTGGGTCTTTTGAGTTGGAGTGGAGCTGTGGAGTAACAAAAACCCAGCTCCACC